TGTGCCGAACACTGGTACGTTTCTGAATTTCCAAGTGTGCCTTTTAGTTCCTCTTTGCAGATGGCAGTTCTCCCTGTCCTTTAAAAGTGGCAAGTGACATCATTTATTACCATTAGTGAGACCTTACAGGTTTAGTGTGTGAGGGCGCAACTTCCTTGTTTTCTGGTTTGAACGGAAAGCCGACAAGTTCTGTCGTTGACAAAACAAAGTAAAACCAACTCTAGGTTAGTTTCTTTTTCATTGTGAACAGAACTTTTGGGCAAAATTCCCCAGAGAGTTTTGTGCAGTGAGAAATAGTAAATCAGGCAATTTGTAGTGGGATTGTGATCCTGGCATCTTGGTTCTTTTTGATATGAAAGTGATAGAAACTGGTGTTCATTTCATTTGTGGAATTTTCGGTTCCTTCTCCTTACGGTCATTTTACTGGACGAGCAAAGAGTACACCTGTCAAGTTTTCAAGAAAAGAGAAATAAAAAAATTTGGAAAAGGAAAATGAAAGGTCCCCAAAGTGACATATAGAGACTACCATGTAAGGCTTGACTTCCCAACAAGAGAAGCTCCTTAGTGAGGTATCAATGTGATAAACTATAGAGCACATTTGTGCATGAAGAAAATCATTCTTATTTTTACAAACACCACATCACCCTGTGAAGTCTTGGGACAGTAAGTGGGAAATAAGCATGTCAAGTACACCGTTTTCCATGTATTTTTAATTGACTTCCTTATCATCAAGCTTCTTTTTTCCTTTTCTTAAAGTGGCAGTCTGTCATTTTCTTCAGCTGTTTTTTTTTTTTTTTTTTTTTTTGTCAAGTAATCAGTATCATTGTCTATAGGACAAAAAAAATTGTTTTTTTTAATTCAAGTTTCTTATTTCAGTTCTGAAGGGTGAAACATTTCAAACGGCATCGTCTGTCCCCTTTAAAGCATGAATCCTCTCTGAGGTTCTCAGTTTGTGATTGATGGCCCAGTCCAAGAATGAGCACTTTTCACAAGCCCCAGAAAGAAAATGCTTGTAGTTCCATTTAATTGATGGCTTGTTTTTTGATACCAATAAAATTTTGAAGGTACCGTTTTTTAAAAGGATACTGGTTAAAGGAAATTTTGACACACTTAGATACAGTTAAGAAAGTTTGCCTTATACTTCTTGTTGAAAACTATAAAGTGTTATTTAGAAAGGCATTTGGGAGGCTGAGGTGGGAGGATTACTTGAGGCCAGGTGTTGAAGACCAGCCTGAGCAAGAGACCCAGTCTCTACAAAAAATAGAAAAAATAGCTGGACACGATGGTGTGCACCTGTAGGCCCATCCGCTTGGGAGACTGTGGCGGGAGGATCACTCAAGTCCAAGAATTTGAGGTTACGCTGAGCTATGATGATGCCACTGCACTCTAGCCCATGAGACAGAGCAAGACCTTATCTCAAAAAAAAAAAGTGTTATTTAGAAAGAAGGAAATATGTTAATCAAAGGGGTGGTTGACTAGGAAAAGGAAAAAAATAATTTCTTCTTTTTCCTCCACTCCCTCTGATGCCCTGGAGTTGGGGTTATTTGATATGGATCTGGAGGTGAGGTGAGTCAATAGATGCACACTGCAGCATCAAGAATAAGTGAAGGCAACAATTCCACTAGTGGATATCTGACCAGAGGAAAATAAGTCATTTTTATCAAAAAGACACCTGCACTTGAATATTTATGGCAGCATAATTCACAACTGCAAAGATGTAGAATCAACCCAAGTGCCCATTAATTTATGAGTGGATTAACAAAATGTGGTGTATGTATACCATGGAGTACTACTCAGCCATAAAAAAGGATGAATCGGTGCCTTTTGCAACAATTTGGATGGAACTGGAGACCATTATCCTAAGTAAAGTATCTAAGGAATGGAAAAACAAACATCACATGTACTTGCTACTAAACTGTAACTAACCAATGAACACACATGTGCATAGAGGAATGTAAAACTTAGTGGAAATCAAGCATTGTCCTAATGGGTACAATGAACACTATTTGGTTGATGGGCACACTTATAGCCGTGACTCAAGCATTACGAAAGTAATCCACCAATAACATTTGTACCCCCTTAATACTTTGAAATCAAAATAAATAAATAAATAAATACAATAAGTGAATGAAGAACACTTTAGACATTTACTGTTTAATTCAACTTTATCTTTTTTTTTTTTTTTGAGACAGAGTCTCACTCTGTTGCCCCGGCTGGAGTGCCATGGCATCAGCCTAGCTCACAGCAACCTCAAACTCCTGGGCTCAAGCAATCCTCCTGCCTCAGCCTGCCAAGTAGCTGGGACTACAGGCATGTGCCACCATGCCCTGCTAATTTTTCTGTATATTTTTAGTTGGCCAATTAATTTGTTTCTATTTTTTTTTTTAGACAGAGTCTCGCTTTGTTGCCTAGGCTAGAGTGAGTGCCGTGGCGTCAGCCTGGCTCACAGCAACCTCAAACTCCTGGGCTCAAGCAATCCTACTGCCTCAGCCTCCTGAGTAGCTGGGACTACAGGCCTGCACCACCATGCCTGACTAATTTTTTCTATATATATTAGTTGGCCAATTAATTTCTTTCTATTTATAGTAGAGACGGGGTCTCGCTCTTGCTCAGGCTGGTTTGGAACTCCTGACCTCGAGCAATCCGCCCGCCTCGGCCTCCCAGAGTGCTAGGATTACAGGCTTGAGCCACTGCGCCCGGCCACCCCATTATATTTAATATAGTCAGTGAGCTCCAGGGTGTGACTGTGTTGACAGAGGTGGTGAGATCTATTCCTGTCAGTGGCTGGGCCCTTCCCTGGGAGTGGACGAGTCCACTGGTGCCTTGCATTTACTCTTTAAAAAACCCAGCAGTCCTTTGAGCACGAAGGCCAGTGGCCCATCTTCATATTAATACTTGCTTTTATGGCTGTTCTAAGTGTCAAAAGGCTGCAGAGAGAACTGGTTCAGCTGAGTCCATTCAGTGAAAAGCAACATAACAGGAGGAAGGTTAATCGGCTGATTTAACATTTGTTGGTTTGTTTTGGTATCCTGTAACACCTACCAGTGTTTTAGTTTTCACTTTTGCATTTGCGTTAAGTAGACCTTTGGTAGTCAACAGAGAAGATTTGGACTTTTTTGCTCTTCCGTGTCCTTAGTCCCCTAGAGCAGCACCTGGCACATCAGTAGGGGCTGATAAATATTTGTTGGAAAGAATGAACAAGTGAATTTGGGCTCACTGTCAGACTCTGTCGGAGTCTAGAAGTAGCACTGGATGGAGACCTTTATACCATTCATAGAGTAGGCATGGGGTGCCGGGCACCAGCTAATTAAGGGGACCAAAAAGATGTTTAAAATGGAACAGCCAATGAGCTGTTCACTATTATTGGTACTGAAGTCATCATGATTGCATTATAAATTCTCTGCATATATTTAACTGACATTTTACTACTTTAGGGCCCACTCTGTGCTCAGGGCTGTGCTGGGTGCTCTGATGAACACCAATGAAAATAAAATTTGGTTCCAGTTTTTGAGGGGCCTCTCTAATAGGAGAGTCCAAGAGTTAAACAACAAGTGAGGCACTATATAATTATAACCCAAAATGGGCACACAAAATATGCATGTTACTGAATCGATAGAAGCGTCTTAGAAAAGTTTGGTTTTAAACAGTTTCGACCGGCAGATTTTGCTATTGTTAGGCACACACTTTGGACCCTTGCTGTTATTAGTGAGGAAGATACTGTCAATGAAATATTTTGCATTTTTTAAATACTGGAGCTGTTTTAGAGTATCTTTACTTAACTTTGCCTTAACATCCCTATGCCATATTTTGCTTTTGGTTGGCATACAACTGATCTTTATTTTGCTCACTTAGATACGGAATTATACAGAATGCACCTGTGTCCAAAGTCGACAGGTGATCACTCCACCCACGGTGGGACAGCGCAGTCAGCTCCGAGTGGTGATCGTCAAAACGTATCTCAATGAGAATGGCTATGCTGTGTCCGGGAAGTGTAAACGGACCTGTAATACCCTTATCCCATTCTTAGTGTTTCTGTTCATAGTCACTTTCATCACAGCCTGTGCCCAACCATCAGCCATCATTGTAACACTCAGGTGAGAACAGCCTTCAACTTCTGCGGGAGTCTATACTTATAATTGCCAGAGCACATATTCCAGGACCAGAGACTGATGTGGTAGATCAGATACCAAAGCAAAATTAGATCGTGCAGGAAGGTGTTCAGATGTTTGCCTGGCGAACTTAGGAGTTTTTCCCTGTTCGGAGGGGAAGGAAGGTTGTAACATCTCATACTGCAGAACTGTCTTTATTCAATTGGGTTATATTCCTATCATGTAGTGAAGCTTCTTTTGGGTGCCTTTGGTTCCTGAAGGCTCTGCCCTATGAGGTTCCACTTCGGGGTTGAAAGTCATCACCCTGTCAGCTATGAGAAGCCCGGAGGAGGGCAGGAAGTAATTCGGGAAAGTTGCTAAATCGTGCATACAGTAAAAGGCTATTATCTCCAACCTTGTAGATAGTTAATACCTCCAGGATCAGAGGCGATTTATGCTGAGCCTGAAATTCACTGCTGAGTTCATTAATTTTGCTGTCATATAGAAAATTTTGGACTCGAATCAAGAAAAGGGCAGACTGTTCAGGCTGTGCTTTCTTTGCCGTATCCTGTTTGGGTTTTTTGTTTGTAAGAGGACATGGAAGCTATTAATACTTTTGTCCTATTAAAAATGTTGACAGTGGCACATTCAAATCAGTGTGTCGCTATTTGCAATAAGGATGGCTATGGGCACAGGAAGGAACGGGGCAGTGTGGCGAAGCCGGAAGAGCACACCCTGGGGTATGGGGTGGCTTCAGAGGGACTCAGGGGGCATAGTGCACTGATAGTGAGACTGTCTTTATTCTTCCTCCGGGTTCCTCAGAGCCCACAACTGCTGGGCTGGGCGCCTGGCAGGAAGCAGCCGCTGAGGGCACTGCTGGGTGAGGGCAGTTGGGCTGCACCACGTACTCTGGCTTCCTTCCTACCGGGTGTTGAGTCTGGCATTTCCTAGCAAAGCCATTCCTTGACAGCAAGGTGAAAGGCCTTTATTCACTCAACTCCTCCATCAGCAGATATTTATGGAGTAACAGCCATGCGTGCAGCCTTGGGCAAATTGCTATGAGAAATAAAGAAATTGGGGAAAAGACTACAGGGCACTAGCGTGGGAAAGTTACGTACCTAGAACGCTGTGAGTATGGGATAGAAAGGATAATATATTGCAGCATTTAAAAAGATATGTGAATCATTAACAAATTTACTCAAACAATCTAATTTTTTGCACTTTGATTCTGCAAGAGATGTTATATAACCCATAGACAGGCTCCATTTTTTATAGTGGTCAAATTTGGCAAATCACCAGTTGGCGTCTAACCCCAAATTTCAACAAGGAGCCCTTTAATCTTTGCTAATTACAAATCAATAGACTCCAATCTTTCTGTCAAGTGGGAATTACTTGGAGCATAAGATTTAGAGAAGAAAAAAAAAAGAGAGGTGGGTAGCAGGGGCTCGGGCATTCTCTGACATTTGCCTTATTTCCTGTACAGTTTTTGAGTATGCTTTCTGGTTTTTTTTTTTTTTACTTTTACTTTTTTTTTTATATTGGAGGAATATTGGAGTAGTTTTCAGTGTACACACCTACCGTTCTGGAAAGTGCAGAGAAAAAGAAAGCAATATTTAGGTTGGAATGCTATAATTTTTTAAATAACCAATCCAATTTGGGAAACTCAGTTAGAACCCCTTTGACCTCTTCAGCCAAGAGCCATTGACCCTTCATCAGTATTTATATGGAAACAATTATAATTAATCAGAGTTTCCTTGGTGTCTTCACTGGGGAGACTTTTATTCCATGATTTAGCCTTCAGCAACTGTGCTTGGCTATTGTTTGTAAATCCTAGTGAATGAACTATTTTGGTACAGCACCTTTTTAGCCCCCAGCTCTGCACGAAGCAGACTTGATTCGACATTCATTTTCTTGGGGCCTCTGTTTAAAAACATTTCTTTCTTTCCCTTCTCTGTAGGTCTGTAGAAGACGAAGAGAGACCCTTTGCGCTGGGAATGCAGTTTGTTTTGTTGCGAACACTTGGTACGTTTCTGAATTTCCAAGTGTGCCTTTTAGTTCCTCTTTGCAGATGGCAGATTCTCCCTGTCCTTTAAAAGTGGCAAGTGACATCATTTATTACCATTAGTGAGACCTTACAGGTTTAGTGGTGAGGGCGCAACTTCCTTGTTTTCTGGTTTGAACGGAAAGCCGACAAGTTCTGTCGTTCGACAAAACAAAGTAAAACCAACTCTAGGTTAGTTTCTTTTTCATTGTGAACAGAAACTTTTGGGCAAAATTCCCCAGAGAGTTTTGTGCAGTGAGAAATAGTAAATCAGGCAATTTGTAGTGGGATTGTGATCCTGGCATCTTGGTTCCTTTTTGATATGAAAGTGATAGAAACTGGTGTTCATTTCATTTGTGGAATTTTCGGTTCCTTGCTTCCTTACGGTCATTTTACTGGACTGAGCAAAGAGTACACCTGTCAAGTTTTCCAAGAAAAGAGAAATAAAAAAATTATGAAAAGGAAAAAGAAAGGTCCCCAAAGTGACATATAGAGACTACCATGTAAGGCTTTACTTCCCAACAAGAGAAGCTCCTTAGTGAGGTATCAATGTGATAAACTATAGAGCACATTTGTGCATGAAGAAAATCATTCTTATTTTTACAAACACCACATCACCCTGTGAAGTCTTGGGACAATAAGTGGGAAATAAGCATGTCAAGTACACCGTTTTCCATGTATTTTTAATTGACTTCCTTATCATCAAGCTTCTTTTTTCTTTTTCTTAAAGTGGCAGTCTGTCATTTTCTTCAGCTGTTATTATTTTTTTTTTTGCCAAGTAATCAGTATCATTGTCTATAGGACAAAAAAAAATTGTTTTTTTTTTATTCAAATTTCTTATTTCAGTTTTGAAGGGTGAAACATTTCAAACGGCATCGTCTGTCCCCTTTAAAGCATGAATCCTCTCTGAGGTTCTCAGTTTGTGATTGATGGCCCAGTCCAAGAATGAGCACTTTTCACAAGCCCCAGAAAGAAAATGCTTGTAGTTCCATTTAATTGATGGCTTGTTTTTTGATACCAATAAAATTTTGAAGGTACCGTTTTTTAAAAGGATACTGGTTAAAGGAAATTTTGACACACTTAGATACAGTTAAGAAAGTTTGCCTTATACTTCTTGTTGAAAACTATAAAGTGTTATTTAGAAAGGCATTTGGGAGGCTGAGGTGGGAGGATTACTTGAGCCAGGTGTTGAAGACCAGCCTGAGCAAGAGCCCAGTCTCTAAAAAAATAGAAAAAATAGCTGGACACGATGGTGTGCACCTGTAGGCCCATCCGCTTGGGAGACTGTGGCAGGAGGATCACTCAAGTCCAAGAATTTGAGGTTACGCTGAGCTATGATGATGCCACTGCACTCTAGCCCATGAGACAGAGCAAGACCTTATCTCAAAAAAAAAAGTGTTATTTAGAAAGAGGAAATATGTTAATCAAAGGGGTGGTTGACTAGAAAAGGAAAAAAATAATTTCTTCTTTTCCTCCACTCCCTCTGATGCCCTGGGTTGGGGTTATTTGATATGGATCTGGAGGTGAGGTGAATCAATAGATGCACACTGCAGCATCAAGAATAAGTGAAGGCAACAATTCCACTAGTGGATATCTGACCAGAGGAAATAAGTCATTTATCAAAAAGCACCTGCACTTGAATATTTATGGCAGCATAATTCACAACTGCAAAGATGTAGAATCAACCCAAGTGCCATTAATTTTGAGTGGATTAACAAAATGTGGTGTATGTATACCATGGAGTACTACTCAGCCATAAAAAAGGATGAATCGGTGCCTTTTGCAACAATTTGGATGGAACTGGAGACCATTATCCTAAGTAAAGTATCTAAGGAATGGAAACAAACATCACGTACTTGCTACTAAACTGTAACTAACCAATGAACACACATGTGCATAGAGGAATGTAAAACTTAGTGGAAATCAAGCATTGTCCTAAGGGTACAATGAACACTATTTGGTTGATGGGACACTTATTAGCCGTGACTCAAGCCTTACGAAAGTAATCCACCAATAACATTTGTACCCCCTTAATACTTTGAAATCAAATAAATAAATAATAAATACATAAGTGAATGAAGAACACTTTAGACATTTACTGTTTAATTCAACTTTATCTTTTTTTTTTTTGAGACAGAGTCTCCTCTGTTGCCCCGGCTGGAGTGCCATGGCATCAGCTAGTCACAGCACTCAAACTCCTGGGCTCAAGCAATCCTCCTGCCTCAGCCTGCAAGTAGCTGGGACTACAGGCATGTGCCACATGCCCTGCTAATTTTCTGTAATTTTTAGTTGGCCAATTAATTTGTTTCTATTTTTTTTTTTAGACAGAGTCTCGCTTTGTTGCTAGGTAGAGTGAGTGCCGTGGCGTCAGCCTGGCTCACAGCAACCTCAAACTCCTGGGCTCAAGCAATCCTACTGCCTCAGCCTCCCAAGTAGCTGGGACTACAGGCATGTGCACCATGCCTGGCTAATTTTTCTATATATATTATATGGCCAATTAATTTCTTTCTATTTACAGTAGAGACAGGGTCTTGCTCTTGCTCAGGCTGGTTTCGAACTCCTGACCTCAAGCAATCCGCCCACCTTGGCCTCTCAGAGTGCTAGGATTTCAGGCGTGAGCCACTGTGCCCGGTCTAATTCAACTTTATCCTAACTTCTATTGTGAAAAAGTGTAATTAGACCAGCAAGCCAATTTCCATTTCCCCAAAATTTCAAAGCAAAACAAGTTTACGAAAAAATTTTAATAACATTACAATTTAATTGAGATACCTTATTTGAATAAAAACAACTTATTTAAAATGTATCGCTTAAAGCTTCCTGGGCTATTCACACACTTTTCTGTCTTCCTGACTCCCTCCGTCCCATCTCTCTTTTCTTCCCTTCTCCCCTGCTTTCTCCCATCACTTTTTTCTGTAAACTCTTACTGAGGTCCTTGGGATGCAAAGAATAGAAGGCATGGGCTTTGCCATCATGAAGGGTGTCAGGTTTGCAAACAGTTTAAATACTATGTGATAGTTACTAAAATGGCGTGAGAACAAAGTGGCATCGGAATGAGTCAGGAATTTAAAGGGGGGCAGACATCTGCAGGGTGAATAAATTGAGGGTGGGGGCACATTTTGGCAAAGGGAGTAGCATGTGATAAAGGAAGTCCATGTACTAGGTAGACTCTATTTCTTATGGGATTAAAGAAATGTCTACATCATAGCTCAAACGATGAAGTTACTACTTATCTCAGATGTTTCATAAGCTTCAAAGATGAATTTTATGCCATAATAAAATTCTTTTCTATTTATAACTTTTTATATCTTATAAGTGCCTATATAAAGTTGCCATTTGATGTGGTATCTCACGGGAGACAGTGGTTTTCTCATAGTCTCCCTGCATCCGAGGCCTGGAACTCAACCTACAAGAACTAAGTGTACTGAATTTTGGTGGGCAATAGAGAGTTTCAGTATAGCTTCTTGAGCTATTTAACGACAAAATCCAATTTTTAAGTTTAAAAGGATTCTCCAATTGCATTTTTGGCAATAGATATTTTTCAGCCTTATTGAGGTAAAATTGACAAATAAGATTGTATCTTTTTAAAGCATACAACGTGATGATTTGATACACATCTGTAAGCAACAGAAGTTTTTATGATCCTAAGCATCAGTAGCACATTCTGAGTTGCAAACTAGAAGATTTTAAGTATTTACCATTTGGCTAATGTTTTTCTGATAAATATATTGTGATAAAATGTGATGTAGCTTAAAAAACAAACAAACAAACAAAAAAACGACACAAGAACATCACTCCCCTCAACTGGTTTTAGAGCACACAAGTACCTTGCTAATTGACAAATCTGTTTTCTCCTATAAGATGCGCTAAATCTGCGTATTTTCTTTTTCTGCACAACTCCAGCGTACATTCCTACTCCGATTTACTTTGGAGCAGTCATCGACACTACCTGCATGCTCTGGCAACAGGAGTGTGGGGTGCAGGGCTCCTGCTGGGAGTACAACGTGACGTCGTTTCGCTTCGTCTACTTTGGTTTGGCGGCCGGCCTCAAATTCGTGGGCTTTATTTTTATCTTTCTGGCCTGGTACTCCATAAAGTACAAGGAGGATGGACTGCAGAGGCGGAGGCGGAGAGAATTCCCCCTGAGCACGGTGAGTGAGAGAGTGGGCCGCCCCGACAACGCCCGGACTAGATCCTGCCCGGCTATCAGCACCCAGGGAGAATTCCACGAAGAGACTGGTCTGCAAAAAGGGACCGCGGCACAGACCTACCCGGGGCCCTTCCCAGAAGCAATAAGTTCCTCTGCAGACCCAGGGCCGGAGGAGAGCCCTGTTGCTATGTAGCAGCCTTCCTGAGGCTTGAAGACGGAAGAATCTCGTTTTGTTGGTTGAGTTGAATACGGCGACTTGAGAAACAACCGTGCCTTCTTTTCTTTCTTTTTTTAACCTCTGCAGACACAATCCTCAAACCAACAAAACTCAGTATACACAGCCACTATCGATTGAGGGCTGGATACCTCAACAAGACTGAGAGCCTTCCACCTCGCCGCCCCAAGATAGGGGGGGAGGTTAGATAGATTTGTTACCATTTCCGCTATGTTAATTTTAAAATTCATGCTCCAGAGGTACATGGTTAACAAAATCACGGGAAGGGGAATGGTGGTGCATATCATTAGCGTACACTGCAGACACAGGTGAGCTTGACCATGACTTTGCATTTGCAAATCAACGTTTTTAGATATGAACACCTACTGTGAGTTCTGCTACAAAGCACAAATGAATTTGCTTCAACTATGCAATTCGGTTGGAAAAATGTTAAGTGCAGCATGTTACTTTTTGCTTTCACAAATACGGTTTTGAAAAGAGGAAGCTAAACTTTTTCCCTACAGTACTGTTAATAGCATTTTAAGCCATAGCAGAGTTCTAAATCAGGTAGAATTTTCCAGATGCTTCAAAGGAACTGTATGCATAGCAAGATAAAAGGAACAGCTACTTCATTTCAGGAGACACATTTCTCTCTTAGTCTGATCGCCCTGATATAAGGTAGTTAAAGAAGCTGCTGAATCATAAATTTGATGGCTTGAATATAAACTCTAGTATACTTTCATAAGGAGCTTTAAAACTAGTGTGCTAAACAATATGACTAGAAACTATAGTTCGAGACGCATCATAAGGAAAGAAGCCAGTGGCTTTCTTATTCAAAGAAATTGCTGTAGAAATTCCTTTAGTACTTAAGGGTCCATGAAATCGTTGGGAAAAGTCATCCCTGAGCATTTTAGCTGTATCTTGAAAGCAGTGGCAAATCTGCATTGTTTTCTTTTTTTCTGGATGGAAAATCGCTGTGGTTGCTTCTGAAAATGAGTAATAACGTCAGGAAAGCTGTACTTGGGGTATAAAAACCACTTTGCATACAGGAGGAGGGAGATCTGTGAGCTGGGTCGAGAATATAATCCTAGTGATGGTTGAAGATTATTTAAAATAAACCAGTCTGTCATATTGATTCCTGCCTTATCAGAGTTAGAATCCTGTTATACCCCCCCCCACCCCCCTTGATTCCCTCCTACTGTAACCTTCCAGTAGTGATTCTTAGGGAGGATTTTTCTTTGGGTTCATTATCCATCATTCTGTTCGGCACCTCCCAGCACATCACTTGGACTTAGCCCCCACACAGAATGCTTTTTGCATGGTTCTTAAGATCGATGCCTCCTGGCAGCACTAATGGACTGACAGCAAGTCAGCTCATGGGATCTGGCTGCAAGGGACCGCAAAGTCCAAATACAGATATGGTTGTGAACTGTTTCTGGCGAGGAGCCCGTGCTTATGTAGGGCTAATCTGGGAAACGGCTTCCTCTTCTGGTTTACACTCATCCACGCAACAAATGTGATTGACAGAGCGTTTTGTGATTCAGGCTTTTGCCCTCCATCCTCGCTTGGCTGCACAACTGGAATTCTGTGAATATTCCTGGATACAGGGCTGTTTTTCTCTCTTCCTAGGACGGAGATTGGTCAACTAGATCTCTTGGTTGCGTGCAATTTATGGAGAGGGTTATCACCATTAGACTGAATAATGTCTACGATGGGTAGAATTAGTGGTCTCAGGTGACAAGGACTTCCCTTTGGGCCTTGGGCTTGGCTTTCGGGGAGGTGAGCAATCTTGCTTAGCTAAGGCTGTAATTGCACTGGTGTCTGCTAGACTTTGGTCAATGTCATGGGTACTGAAGGTTGTCAGAAAACCTTGCTGATTAACCCAGTGTCTGCTCTGGGGCCTCAGGGTTCCCCTTTACTCTCTATGGGAGATCTTTGATCTTTAAGAAGAGAAAGTGTTCTTTGGTGAAGGAGCTAAAGATGTGTAGTTTGGAGAGGGCTGGTGTTTTCTTGATTTTCCTCTGATCATTAGGATACTGCATTGAGAGAATTCTGGTGGGATTGGCCTTTTTTTTTTTCTTTTTTTAATTAATAGCTAAAATGATTAGACTTGCCAGGGGTAATTAGAGAGCCTCTCCCATGCTCGTCTCTACCTTGATCAGTCATCCATTTCAGCAACCATTGGCCGAGCACCAGTTATCTGTCAGGTGCCATTTTACCTGATTCCAATCTGCCACTCCATGAAATCCTTTGGGATGATTAGACCAGAACTCAAATTGGCCTAAAACATGCACCACAATGTTAACATTGTACTTCCTCAAGTATGTGCTACTTTTAAATAGCAGGTATATTATTGATGTGTTGTTGGTGAATATAGACTACGTAGTAAAAATTGTGAGAAAATAAAGTTTTGGAATATGTACCAATAAGAGTTGTTCCCAAAATACTTTGGGCTATGGTAGCATCATGGAATATTTCATAGCCAGCTAAAGTGACAGTTTTAGATGATACCATTTCATTGTATATATAAGGTCTTAGATGTTTATTAACAAATAGGTCATGTTGCTTTATAGTCACAGCTCCTATTAGAAGTTTTAATTACCACCTTCCATGAGATTAGGCTTCAAATTACTTGTTTAGGCAAAAGATCCTCTTGTTCCTTTATAAACTCTGTAAATGAATATATTATTTGGCTTTAATATGCAAATATAATATCCTTGAGTTCAGTCTTGTTAATTTAGAAACTCCCAGAGGGTGGGATGGGTAGTTGAAACACATTCTTTTGGTTATTTTCATTAGCATGAAATCCTTATTCTTAAATCCTTTAAGATTTAAGTCTTAAAAATAGTCAAAAGTTAATCAAAAGTTATTCGGAATCAAGGTATGGGGGATGAGGAGAATAGAGGAGCAGAGAGGAAACAAATTAGCATTTGTTGAGTGTTGACTGTTTGCAGAGCATTTTGTCAAGCACTTAAGCATCATTCATTTCAGTCCTCTTAATAACCTTGCAAAGATTTTATTCCTTTTTTTTTTTAAAACAGATATGAAACAATGGCTCAGAGAGGTAAAGTAACTTGTTTAGAATTGTACAGAATGGCAAAGATAAGGATTCAGAGATAAGTTTCCCTGCCTCCATTATTCACTGCTTATGCTACATAATACAAACAGTAGTTTTTGATTGACAAAGGCAAGATGTGACTATACAATGGTAAAGTTAAAGCATTTCATTTTTTGATGTATTGCTGTTTCTGAGGAGTAGAGAAGTTACTTTTTGTGTGTGTAAACAGAAAAAAACTATAGGAAACATCAGTAGGAAGCATCAAGATTTAATGTTTAATTAGATTTTCAAGGTAAATTTACATTTCTTTAGCTAAGTGTTATATTAAAAATTGTTTGTCATAACATACCTCAAATATTTATTAATAGTTCATATTTAATGTAGAACAAATCCAATTTGGGTATTAACATCAAGTCCCAGCAGAGTTTCTGAAATGAAATATTATGCTAAAACATAGTTCAGATTTGTTGAATCTGAGCTTTGGGGATTTCAGGTGTATTTTTCTTTTTTTCAGAATATTAACATGTCCGTGAGGTTTTTTTTTTTTTTTTTGGTGAATCTCAGTTTTAAGATTCCTGATAAGGAGTTTAAATGAGCATATATAAAATACATACCAAACTCCTGACCCCAATTGTGACCTTTAGTAGCTGTGACAACAAACTGCAGCGTGCTCTTGGAAATGTCAGCTTTCAGAGAAGGGAGTAACCAGGTATAGGGCCTAGTGCAGGTGATGGAGGTCCTACATCATCACCAACCACCGAGAAAATTCTTCACTCCACAATTCCAGCTTGCATTTTTTTTGGTGGACTTGGAGCCTGAAAGTTTCTTTTTGGACCCTGTTTTGTAGAAACCGTCTGTGTACCAAAGAGAAGCTTCATAGTTTGGATGAACTTGAAACATCTGGGAATTCTCCAGGGCACCGAGGAGCAGGAGGAAAGCCCAAGCCTGGGGTGGTAGCCAATTATGTTTTATGATTGCGTGCGTACTTAAGACATCACAGACAGAACAGAACTCGGATATAACTACTGATATATAGGTGCATACTGATTATTCTAAGTAGCAGATAGATACCAAAATACTGTATAATCCCATCATTGCCTAGACTGCAGGTCTGCCAGTTCTCTGCTATACAGACTCGTAGGTAGCCTTGACACGTATTTGTGTTTCCTCTTCCATAGTAAGGGAATGCCATTGGCTAATGGCAGGCGAAGTTAGTTGCCTTGTGCACTTTATCTTTTCTGTCTTCTCTCTTCTTCCTCTTCCAGGATGCTGCTGGCTGTATCTGTCCCAGACTTCTTGTTGCATTAGAATCAGACCTGTGTATGTTTGAAGCGGTTTTATTTTAGGCACTTCATTTTTACTCAGGCCTAGGAAGGGTTAACTAAGACAATCACCCTCCTAGGTGTTTGCTTTTGCAACAATAAAAAAAAAAAAATGCCTTGGTGCTAAAAGTATTTAATGATGCATGTTCACCACTAAAGAGCGCCACTGAATTTACAGTATTTTACTAATAAGGGGCTGCATGTGCTTTGCGTTTGGAAATCTGGAGAATTTCCCAGAAAACAAGCACCCGTTACTCTCATTTCAACAGTTAATCCATGAACTCTATGCTGCAAAAATGAAGAGTGTGAGGGGGAATACTTTTCTATGGAAAACTCAATGCTTTTGATATTTATTTAGCAAGAATAATCAGATGCTAAAAATAATTTCAGAGAGAGATAAAAAAAATTTCAGATAATCTTTTTCTTATTTCTTCTCCAAAAAGCTTGTACCCATATAATGGTGTTTTTTAACATCGGGGTTTTGAAGGTGTTGTCTTTTTTGGAATTCTACCATTACATGTTAAAATTGAAGGAGACAATATTATTGAAAATGCAAGTAATTGCAGGGACATAGTAAACCAAAGGGGCGAACAAAAGAGGTATAAAGTGTGTACTTAGAAATGAAAAATAAGAATAATTGGTAAGACTGGTACCATTGGTAATTAGTCATTGCTAAGACTAGTACCAAATAGTGGGCATTTTTCTTAAAATACATACCTCTATCAAAACCCCCAAATGTTAAGTTAGAAGCACGAAGCAGGCAGGTCAGCCTCCAACTCTTTTGTTTAAGGAAATGTAATACTGTGTCAAATAAATTGGCATTAGGATCTTAGTGGAGTGTGTGTTTTAGTGCGTGTGTATTTTTGTGTGCAGAGGTGTGCTTGTGATGAAAGGTTGTTTTTTTGTTGTTGCATAAAGGAATTTGATTTTGTGATTTTTAAAATGAATATTTATTTGAAGACCTCTTAGGGTAATTTAAAAGATGTATAACTTCTTTGTGTTTCATGAAATCTATTGTCGATGTACTAATAAATCTTGGTTTACAACATCTTGAATACTTGATCATTGAAAATTATGAAAAAAAAATTTTAAAAAATGAATAAAGTGTGTTGGATTGAAATTAGTTTGTCTCTAGATTTTTCTTGTTTGGAGAGATGAAGCAACAAGGCCCATGGGACTGGCCACCTCTTCTACACAATTAACTCCTTATCTAACTGATAACTTTGTCTGGAAGCAGAATGTGTTTTGTGGAGTCACCAAAGAAGTTCATTACTTATCCATTTAAATTCAAAATAGACTTTCAGAATGCAGAGCTGTATGCCTCGAATATGGTTTGTTAACTCATGCTTAGATATTATAACATGCTACCCCCCAAATCTCAGTGCCTTCGTAGCGCACTCAGGTTTATTTCTCATTCAGAGTACGTGTCTATTATGGGTCTGTTCCACATGGTCCCTCGGGGATCCAGGCAGGCAGAGGCTCTACTATCTTGAAGCTGTACGGTTTGGAACTTCTAGGGTTGGCCTTCATTGCTTTGGCAAGTAAAGGAAGATCCCAGAGAATAGCTAAAAGACTTTTCTTTTTCTCAGCTTGGAAGTGACACATGTTACTTCTGTTCCCATTTCATTGGCCCAAAGTAGTCTCATGGCTCTGCCTGGGGTCCTGAAAATATTGAGGAGCAAATGGTGAGCATTTGGTGGTTATTATTCCTTTTTTTTTTTTTTTTTGAGATAGAGTCTCACTCTGTTGCCTGGGCTAGAGTGCCATGGAGTCAGCCTAGCTCACAGCAAACCTCAAACTCCTGGGTTCAAGCAATCCTGCCTCAGCCTCCTGAGTAGCTAGGACTACAAGCATGCATCATCATGCCTGGCTAAGTTTTTCTATATATTTTTAGCTGGCCAATTAATTTCTTTCTATTTTTAGTAGAGACGGGGTCTGGCTCTTGCTCAGGCTGGTTTTGAACTCCGGACCTTGAGCGATCCGCCCACCTTGGCCTTTCAGAGTGCTAGGATTACAGGTGTGAGCCACCACGCCCAGCCTGGTGGGTATTATTCTTTGTCACATAGTTGACTGTGCTAGGTTAAGAATGATTTCCAAAAGAGTCCAAATCATTATTTTAAGTGCTGGTTAATAAAGGGAATGTTTTAAGGATAAAAAAAGAATGATTTCCAGAGGAGTGAATATCAAAACTTGGTCAGCAAAACAGTGAAAAGCCCCCTTCCTCCCATCTCTACTGAATAGCAAACTAGTCACATGTTGCTAAGGGGCCCAGAAGCCAGTGCTGTGAGACAAGAGCAGGAAATTGTGCTCAGGCCAGCACAGTGGATCTTGCCCGTAATCCTACCGCTTTGGGAGGGCAAAGCAGGAGGATTGCTTGGAGCCAGGAGTTTGAGACTAGTCTGAGCAAGAGTGAGACCCCGTTTCTATAAAATATAGAAAAATTAGCCGGGCATGGTGGCATGTGCGTGTAGTCCCAGCTACTGGGGAGGCTGAGGCAGGAGGATCCCTTGAGCCCAGGAGTTTGAGGTTGCATTGAGCTATGATGACACCACTGGACTCTAGCCTGGGCATCAGAGGGAGAGCCTGTCTCAAGGAAAAAAAAAAAAAAAAGACAGAAAAAAAAAGAGTACTTGTGCTCAGATTCCACCTAGGGAGAAAAGCACTGGATTTGGAGGTCTCTCTTGACCAACAGCAGAGTTTTCTAAACACACTGGCATCTAAAACTTGGGGTGAGAGGCAGAAGGAAGTAAAGGAGTCGTGGAAATATAACAGCATGACTCACGGCCTGAAGCACAACGTGGTTATATTTAGAATCCTGTCTTGAGCACTCAATAGGTGGGAAGCAAGGCAATTGATTTCTGCTTCTCTCTGTCACCCCACTGCACACCGGAAGAACAGGGTTGGAGTGGCCTCAGATACGTGAGTTATTGGGGGGGTATTTGTCTGTGCTGACTTCTGGGCAAACCTTTATTCCACCCCCCACCAAGGCTTTGTGCATTCATTAAGGGAGCTCTTTATGCAAAGAGCAAATGGTAACCCCTGCCCAAATCCACCAGCTTCTCCTCAATTATGCGTGTATAACGTAGGCAAAAGGATATCTCCTTGTGCTCAAATTTCCTAAATTTCTCACACTTGCAGGGTATAGGCAGAAACAGTTATGGTATTGGGATTTTTGAAATAGACACGTTAGGAAATATTTAAGAAATGAGGAAGGGGAAAGGTGATGAACGTGGTCACTTGTCTTCCTTGCTTTAGGCCCAGACTTGGTACAACCTCAGTGTTTTAAGAGCTGTTAAAAAGCATCCAGTTCCCTGACAGTCTTCTGAATTCCTTCTATGTACCCATAATAATTAAAAAGTTTTTAAAAAATTAAAAAAAGAAGCACCCAATTTCTCTCTTTTAAAAACTGCCAGCTGGGCAGAGAGTCTCTGTGGCTTCAGCATGTGAGAGCCAAAAAAAAACATTTTTAATTGAACAAAGACATCGGAAAGCAAGGAGATCGATATTCAGTGCTCACTTTTCAATTTAAACATCAAAGTTTGGTGCAGTTCCAATTTAGCAGTAGAAAGCAAAAGCTGTTCTTTCGCCTGCTGGAATGGCTAAGATCCTAGGCACTGAGAAAGAGCGAGCCTGCCATGGATCAAGTTGCTCCAGATGTGTTCTTGTCAAAACGGTAGCCCTCAGAGGGGCGCTGCGACTTTAGAAACCCAGGTGTGGACGCTTTGCGGGCTGGGGCGCGGGGGCAGGCCCTGGCTCCGAGCAAAGCTGTCTTTAGCTGCACTAGAGTGACACCTAGCGGCCATTATGGAAAAACACATGCTGTGCCAGTCTCAGGTCTTCTGGGTTTGGGGCTTGAGCAGGTAAGGGGCTCTTAGGCTCTGGAAACAGGTTAGTGTGGCAGTGACCTCTCTTCT